TATGAATTAGTGTTAATTTAATATTATTTATCAATATTTTATGTAACAATTTTGATATTATATAAGTTGATTGTAATTCATGTTTATATTTTTTTGTCCTATTGTTAACATAGTTGTAATTTTAAATTATAAGATTATAATATATATATTTTTTATAAAATTTAATAATTTTAATTTTTTTAAATTTAAGTTAGTCAACCCATTTAATTTACTAACCGGTGGTGAGTCATGTTGGATTATTTTTTTTAAGCCCATCGAAAAATAATTTGAGTTAAGTTGACTCACCTATTATTCAACCCATAATAAGACAAGTCAGACCGAGTCGAATTTACCCATTTTTACATCTCTAATAATTTTATAGTGTCAAAGATTCTCTTAGTAAGATAGTTATTAGAATAAATTTTATAGAAATTCTCTTATTAAAATTGTTTTTAGAGTAAGTTTTATAGGATCCTTAGTGGAACTCAAATATTTTCACTATAATATTTTAAATCTTTCTAGAGTAGAAGATTAATATCTATAGATAAATGATGTATCTCCAATTCTAAATTTGGGGCTTTTTCAAATATGTTTCTCTTATCATTGAATTTGATTGAGGCCAAACATGTTATAACATTCATGGTATCTTGAATGGTCATCAAGAAACATAATATACAAACAACTTATATGATAAAATGTAATGTAGTTATTATTGGGTTAGTTTTGACATGACAATTGGTATATTGTAACTTGTTCATGTAGTTCAATATGAGTAATTTAATGCATAATAAGTTATAAAAGCTTCGGAAAAATATGCATTGGCCTTTGAGGCGACTACTGTTTTTTTTTACCATTTTAATTCCATTGCGAGTCTAAACTTTTGAATAATGCTACTAAATTAAGAGACACACAGGTATATATGAATTCACACAACTAGATTTATAAACTGCAAGTCAATCGATTGAACCATACCTTACCTAAATTATTGCCTCATTGACAACATCATGCAAAAGGGAAGATAAATTATTGTAATAGGTAGCCGATCGAATTATGTTCTAATTATTTTTTCTCCTCCTTTATGTTCCTATTATAAAATACTTATAACATAATCACATAAAATAATATATGTACGTAATTTTTATTGATTTTTTTAAAATATTATGATAAACAAATTTTACCTTTATTACTTATCATTAAACTCTCATAAGAAAAATAAAGATATTATCCATCCATACACACTTACCAATAATAATTGACATATATATAGAGAGGGATGAGAGAGGAAGGATCCATATCTTTAAGAATAAGTTTTAGTAGACTTATTTCACTCAATAACTTAAGTTTTACACTAAATTTGAATGATTCAATCCTTAAATTAAAAATTCTTAATTTGCAAATTTTTGAGTGAAGTAAATCTATCAAGATTTACTCTTAAAGTAAGTGAATCCTTATATATATATATATATATATTATCTTATTGTTATTCATTAATGAGAAGCACCAATAGTCACAATTTTTTTATTTTTGTTAAAAAAAATGATAAATAAAAGATGACACCTCGTGACTTTGAATAAATATATTTACTAAAATAAAATTTTTTATAGAGGTAAATTGTATCTCGTAACAAAGAACAGATGAGGTATTATTCAATAATTAGTCTGGTTTTTAAAATATTAATTTTGCATGTGGAGAATGAAATTGCAATTATCAAAGAATTAAAGGAGAGACTGTAGTTATTTTGTCTGCAACACATACTTGGAGAAGGTAAACAATTTGCAAATATGTTGGCCAAGTTGAAAGCATCAGGAGATGATTGACTGGTTATACTGACGAAACGAGTCTGTTCAAGGCAGATGAAATGGAGATTTCAGTATAATTTGAGATTTCAAACTAAAGTTTACAAGACACCTGCAATAATTTATTTACATTAAACCTTTTTCCATAAAAAGACATAGATATAACTCAATAAATGCTTTCTTAGTGCAACATTTATATACTATTATCTCATTTTGTCTTAACTTATTATTTAATAAAGCTATAATTATAATAAGATTTTCATAAAATATCAATTTCATTAAAAAATTGCTACACCACTTAACTTAAATATAGATACTTCCTTTTTAAACTTTGCTATTTATCATAATTATAATCCACAAAACATGTATATGTTTTGTTAAAAGAATAAAAATCAAATATGGTAAAAAATTTATAAATTTTCATGGGAGACAAGCAAGATTTTCGTGCAAATATTTATGGAAAACCAATTTTTACCATATATGGACGATTATATGGTGTATATTAAATTTTGCTTACATCTCATATATTAATTATACATTTTATAATTTTATCATTGAATTATATTTTTTTTTAGATTAATCAAACTAATAAATTTTAAAAAACATAATTTATATACTATAAAATTTTAATCTAATGATAGAATACCATATATTCATATAAATAAATCTAATTAAAAGTTATTAAATAATTTTAATCTAATGGCAATAATAAATTTAAATTTTTAAGGTATAACTTATGCAACGACTCGTATTGATCGTTACATTAAAAAAGATCACTACACGAAGTAGCATTGCCATCAATAAAAGATCATACCACCTGCTAGTGGCTCCTTAAGTCTAGTCCTAATTTGCTCATATGTAACATTTGATCATTGCAGTCTAAACCACATGAAAATAGAAAGGTAAATTAGAGTTCAAAAAGATGTAAGTTTAGAAAATAATTTCATAACCTATAACATCGTAACAAAACATACATAAAAGCCAAACACTCCAAAGCAAACATGTATTTCATCCACACCATATAAACTAAGACATACATCAATGCATATGAACACATCACAACATACATCAACGCATATGAACACACCATAACATACATCACATGCAAATACATTAACTAATGCGTTGTCACACTCACCTACGAGGTTATCGTAACAATATGAGTAGTTTAAGTGACTCCACTTTATCGAACAAATCAATTATTTTTGCACTCGAAACGTTGAATCGATCACAACAAAATGGGATAACAATCAATTTTCTGATTTCTCAAGTCTTGTCACTTACATTAGGAAAGTCCCGTTTCACCGTTAGGAATAATACAACTAGGTGTAGACTTACCACAACCTTGACATGCATTACCAAGTCATATATGAAATTCTGCCATTGATTATCTTTAAGAAATCACACAACTTTTCCAGGTACTTGGTTAAAAGTTGTAACACTCAATCTCCTACCTTACTTAACCATTAACTAAAGACTAAGAAGATAAATCAATACACCTCAAAAATCACTCTCAAAGACACACTTACTCAAGGAGATTTTTTTTGACAAAAATAAAAAATAATATTTATAAGTTTTATATGAATTTTTTTTACAAGAACTAAAATCAAAACTTATCCATTTTATACATATTTAAACCAGCAACTTATTGCATGGAAAAACAATTATATTTATAAAACATACGCCTTGTATTGACAAATCATATCCTTATATGTTTAGCTTTTTATATTAATTAATTATAAAATAGAAAATAAAAAATCCCTTATAAAAAAAACTTTATTCAATACCACTATTAGAATGCTAGAGAAAAAGAAAATAAAAAAATATTGATCATCAATAGCATCGTCTTTTAATGCTTATTCAATACTACTATTAGAAATATACTTAATAGACATGAAAATAGAAGAAAAAAAAAATATAAGTATCATCAATAGCATCGTCGCCTTTTATTATATTAGATTATAGTATATTCTTACAAAGTGAAATTAAAAATTTAATTCAAAATAAAATAATGACTTTTTTTTACACCACTAAAATAATGACTTAGTCTATCTATTATCACTGTATTTTTTTTAAAAAAAACTTAAACAACATCAGAATTAATTATAAAATATATGTTGAAAGATTTATACATTTTAAATAGATCTCAATATTTTAGAGGATAAATCATTAATACTAAAATTGAAATTTTCATTATTTTCTTTTATAAAAAAAACTTATTTAACGGATAATGAATAAAAAAATAATATTACATAAGTTTAGCATTGACCCTTTATTTTTTTTAATAAAACAAACAGTTTTATTTATTATTTTATGTGTGTTGCTTAAACTAATTTTTTAGAAAGTAACTCGTCTTAAAGAACTGTTTTTTTTCTTTTTTTTTTTTTAAATTAAATTTTAAACAAACTGTTCCATTATTTCACAAGTATTTTTTTTATCATAATATGACTGTAATTTAAAATTTTTCATATAAATTAAGAAAAATAATAAATATATCATTTTTTAAAAACAATTTCACTATATAATTTCACTCTTTCAATAGATGTATTACTTTTAATAATAATAATTAAATAATTTATGAAAAAATTATATTAAAAATAATTAAATATTATATTAAAAAGTGGTATCATAATTTATTTTAGAACTTTTTCAAATGATAAAATTGCACTCATTGAATAGAAGTAGTATTAATATGATTTTTTTATTTATAATTTTACATTAATGCATTTAAAGAATTTCACTTGAATTAAAAACATTCATGAATATTTTATAATTAATTTAAAGGAGAAGTAAATGATGAGAGAGAATCCGAAAAGAAATTAAAATGGAAAAAAAAAAGAATTCTATTAATTGTTCAAGTCTTCACAATTCACAATAAACAATGGAATATATTAATTATTGCCGTTACTCAAAGATAAGATGAACATTCCCTAGTCAAGGGTGCACTACAATACCATGGGCGCGTCTAATCACCAATATCCTAACCGAAGGACGACACGAGATGTGATCATCGCGGGATACATCTACGATTATGAGCCTTTATGTCCATTCAACGGTCAGATTCTCAGCGACTAGGTCGCTCCCACGAGTTCATGCACCGGACGGAATCTGCATTAATAATTTTATTAAAAGTATTAAGTATTAATTTATTACTACTATTATTTAATTATTAGTTTCTCTCACTACACTTAACATTTTAGGCAATCAAATAAACTGAAATGCTTTATTTTAAGCATTTTTCTTTCTTCTTCTCTTTGCAAGTTCCAAGCCTTTACTGTCTCTTTAACTTCTCGCCACTGTGTCTGTGATGAACGGACACTTCGACTTTCTCATCTTCAGCAGAGCGTCGACGTCGTTTTGCTCCGAATAAAGGCAACACTGAGTGAATATAGGGTTACGGTGTGGTTATTTCTTCATTGTGTTGCTTTGAATATGTTGTATATTTCGGAACCTGTCATTGTCAAGGATTATTTGCATGCTTCTTTCTGGAATTTGAACTTGTTATGTTCCGGTTGCTGTTTTTGCGTGCAGGAATTGGAGTTCATTTTCAATTGCTGTTGGTGCTTTGTGAATTGATTGCTGCTGCTGGCATTCCCGGTGCGTGCGATTTTGAGTCAATTTCTTCGTGAGTCGCGTTGTTTACGTTTTCGTTTTAGTTTCTGAGTGTTGGTTAAACAGGTAGATCTGATTCTGAGTTGAATGCATCTACGGTTCCGTCATTGGTTCTTTATGCTTCATGTGTTGAATTTATGTTTTTATGCAATGCTGTCTTTCTAGCTGTGCGTGTCTAGAGCTGAATTATACTATCTGGCTTGAAAGCTAAAGTGAAAGGGAGAAAATGGAAGAAAGGACTAGATAACTTATTTTATTGTGTGCTGGCTAATTTCTCAGGAAAGAAATGAATGTTTCCTTAGTTATATTTTTTGACTTAACGGACGTTGAGAAAGAGGCGGGATGAATTTTGGAAAATGTTTATTACCTGTTCATTGCTTTGTGCTTATGTAAAATGCGAAATTCTCTTCTGAATTATCCAACTTTGGTTGTGCTTCTGTGTTGGAATGCCAAGTATGCCTAAGTGCACCTTGCCTTGTGGTAATGTGAGATCCATGTAGCGGATTTAATCTAAAGGGATCTGGGTTTTAAATAGCACAATGTAACGCTATGGTGGAGTGGTTCCTTGCTGCTACAGGAGCTTCCGTGGCAGAGTGATTTAGTGTAGCAGACCAAATAGTGGTTGTAATGGACAAGATAGTGGTGCTATGTGTTCATTCCAAATTAAAAAAGGCCCTTTGAACAAAGACATTAGGGCTTTTTTGGGAGGTTATTTTGGGATTTCCATTTTCAAAAGTAAATATACAGCTCTAATAGTAGTGAAAATGATAAAAAAGAAGACTTGGATTTTGAAGATGACGATTGATGATTCCTATCTAGGAGACTTGTATTTGACTTTTTGTTGGTATTTACTTGTATGTTTTGTTGAAGACACCTACGACTTTTTATTCATAATTATGAATGTCATGAGTTGTTAAAAAATTCACGATATCGGATATCCCGCTATCTACGATCTTGCTGTAGCATTTTCGGGTTCGGTTGCTATCTGGAATTTAAAACATTGAGTGGGATATGACTTTTGTTGTTGTTGTACCTTGCCTAATTATAAAACTCGGTTTCTAAACTATGTTCATTACTTCTGTGCCAGTGGTTCACTTTTATTTTTTTTATTTTTTATTTTTATTTTTATTTTTATTTAATTTTCTGAATATAGAATGATTTAAAATGTCTCTATAGAACAAGTTAGAGCTGAGGCTTCCGGGCTTTTAAGGGGTACTTTGGCACTAACTGTTTGCGACAAATTTATAGCTCAGTAAAACTTAATTGATGGGATACTTAAGTTGTCTTTAATTTCTAGAACCATCATTTTATCAGCACGGCTTCTAATTTTTAACCAGAGAATGTTCCTGGTTCGTTGGATTTCTATTTTAGAATGTGAAAGCATCTGTAATGTACATTGTCATGCAATAGATTTCAACAAGTTTCATAGACTACAACATAGATCAAAATACGAATTTTCAAAATAGATGATCAATTATCCGATCTCAGCTTCTTTTACACAACCTTTTTGTGTGGGTGATTGTTTATTAAATGCTTATTTTTGGAGAGAACAAACTAACATTGAAGGTCTCTTTACAGGATATTATGGCGTGGCACACACCTCATCTATGATTACTAAGAGTGGAGCAGTGCACTTCAAAGGAAATTAGATGATGCCATCGACTTTCAATATTTTACAAACATTTGTCAGAGACTTTGCCTAATGCTAAAAGTGAATTTACACCCATAATCTGCAAATAGTTCCTTCTCTTTGTGTGTTTTTGGCAAGCTTTTCCCAAGACATGCCGTCATGGTGGGGAAAGTCTTCTTCCAAAGAGGTAAAGAAGAAGCCAAGCAGGGAAAGTATTATTGATACAATACAGCGGAAATTAAAAAATGCTTCTGAAGAGAAGTGCAATAATAATTCAGGAAGATCGAGATATCTTGATGATGCTATCTCCAAGAAGGGATCTAGATCTCTCACACCTTCAAGATCACCATCACCCACTACACATGTGTCACGCTGTCAAAGTTTTGCAGAAAGGCCTAGTTCTCAGCCACTCCCATTACCAAGGTCACACCTTCCTGCTGTTGTTGATGCAACTTCTGGACTTATTTTATCATCAAAACTGGAAAGAGCCATAGGTTCTAAGCCATCTCTACATTTTCCCCTTCCAAAACCTGGTTTTGTATCTAACAAGGAAGAGCCTACATATGCGGAAGGAGATATAGGCACTGCATCTGTTTCTAGTGACAGCTCAGTTGATAGTGGCAACTCATTTGATTCGCCGCATATTGTTAGTCCTCTGGCATTTGACTATGAAAATGGAAAAAAAGCCAACATTAACAGTTATTTCAGGTGGGTTTTTTTCCTTCTAGGGAGATTTTTTTTTTAAATGCTCTCCATGTAAATACCTTTTCTTTTGTTCCTTCTATAACTAAATTTATTTCTATACTCCTAAAGTGTGGTGCACAAGAATCAACCAGTTACTACTATCCAAAGTAACTCAGGAACATCTTCGAGACCAGCTCCTCAATTATGCAATAATAAGCCTTTATCTACCTCACCAAAAGGAGGCCCTTTACATCTGCAAAATCTGCAAATAGCTCACCCAGGTGGTTTGTGCAGTGCTCCAGATAGTTCAATGTCAAGTCCTTCTAGAAGCCCAATGGGAGCATTTGGCCCTGAAAAAATGTTGAAATCTGGATTACGGACAGGAAGGCCTTATTCAGATATAGCTTCTAGTCTGGTTTCAGGCCATAATTCTGGTCATATTTCAGTTGGTGGGGATCTGTCAGGACAGATGTTTTGGCCACAGAACAGGTGTAGCCCCGAGTGTTCTCCAATACCAAGTCCCAGAATGACAAGCCCTGGTCCTAGTTCCAGGATACAAAGTGGTAGTGTGACCCCTCTGCATCCACAAGCTGGAGGTACTGCAGCAGAAGCTCGCCCAGGTGGTTTGTGCAGTGCTGCAGATAGTTCAATGTCAAGTCCTTCTAGAAGCCCGATGGGAGCATTTGGTACAGAGAAAATGTTGAAATCTGGGTTACGGACAGGAAAGCCTTATTCAGATATAGCTTCTGGGCACTGCTCTAGTCTGGTTTCAGGCCATAATTTTGGTCATATTTCAGTTGGTGGGGATCTGTCAGGACAGATGTTTTGGCCACAGAACAGGTGTAGCCCCGAGTGTTCTCCAATACCAAGTCCCAGAATGACAAGCCCTGGTCCTAGTTCCAGGATACAAAGTGGTAGTGTGACCCCTCTGCATCCACAAGCTGGAGGTACTGCAGCAGAAGCTCGCCCAGGTGGTTTGTGCAGTGCTCCAGATAGTTCAATGTCAAGTCCTTCTAGAAGCCCGATGGGAGCATTTGGTACAGAGAAAATGTTGAAATCTGGATTACGGACAGGAAAGCCTTATTCAGATATAGCTTCCGGGCACTGCTCTACTCTGGTTTCAGGCCATAATTCTGGTAATATTTCAGTTGGTGGTGATCTGTCAGGACAGATGTTTTGGCCACAGAACAGGTGTAGCCCCGAGTGTTCTCCAATACCAAGTCCCAGAATGACAAGCCCTGGTCCTAGTTCCAGGATACAAAGTGGTAGTGTGACCCCTCTGCATCCACAAGCTGGTGGTACTGCAGCAGAAGCACCTACAAGACGTCCTGACGATATGAAACAACAAACTCATCAGTTACCAATTCGTCCAATAACAGTCACTAATCCTTATCCGTTTTCTCCAACCTATTCAGCATCCACAACTCCTTCAGCCCCTCATAGTCCTTCCGGAGCAGAAAATCCAACAGGCCCGGGTCCACGCTGGAAAAAGGGGCAGTTGCTTGGGAGGGGGACGTTTGGACATGTATATCTTGGTTTCAACAGGTATTTATCAAATGGGTGGAAAAGTGTTTTACTCCTCCTGTAGTATGTATTCCTTCTCTTTAAATTATGACACCATATGATAATTTTTTCCTAAATTTTATTTTATATTTAAAACAAAAATGAGAGCAAACTGTAAAATTAAAGGTGTTAACTACCAAAGTAGTGGTGCAGAAGTACCAAATTACTCAAGTGGGTGCCAGACACATTTACACATTCAGCTGTTGAATGGTCACTATTATTTGTATTAGGATTTCTGTATGTTGAATTTTGAATTCTTAATCAAGCAGATTATGTATTATATGCATGTGTGATGTGTCCACTTTTTTCTTCACCATGATCTGTTAATGTCAACATTGGCCCTGTTTCAAAAATCAAAATTGATATTTGTTATTTTCCATGCTTTGTGGTGTTGTTATCCTTATCTTGTTTTCTACATTAAGTTCTTTCAACTTTTTAATCGTTACTTGGTTAAACTTCTGATGATCTATAGAGAAAGTGGTGAGATGTGTGCAATGAAGGAGGTAACCCTTTTTCAAGATGATGCTAAATCAAGGGAAAGTGCACAGCAACTTGGCCAAGTAAGCTTGCTTTTTTAGATTAAATACACTTCCTATGTTCCATATTACATGTCTCATACTTGCTTTTATTTGGGAAAATCCAAATAATGTCTCATTTTGAAATTAAGAAAGAAACCTTTTACTTTCCCCAATTGTCTTTACTTTTTCCTTTAATCAATAAAGAACTAGGGATAATTTTGAAATTGATGAGTATAAATATATCGATGAATATTCACATGTGATGGCATTTGCAGGAAATTGCTCTTCTCAGTGGGTTGCGGCATCCAAATATTGTTCAGTATTATGGATCTGAGACGGTATTTATTGGATTATTGTCTTCATTCAGTAAAAATTTCACTTTTTGAATCTTCTTACTTAAATGAAGACTTTAAAACATATTCGCACAAATCAGTTATTATAATTGCTATTCGCACAAATCAGTTATTATAATTGCTTGTATGTCTTGAGAAACACATAATTAAATATCTTCGTAACACAACTATTGTAATTTAGAATTTCAGAGTTCATTTGTCAAACTATATTGACTATCAATTGCTTGTATGTCTATTAAGTATTAACTGCTTTATGAATTTTTTACACCTAACAGGTAGATGACAAACTTTATGTGTACTTGGAGTATGTCTCTGGTGGGTCAATCTATAAACTGGTTCGTGAATATGGCCAGTTAGGTGAAATTGCTATTCGTAATTATACTCGGCAAATTCTGTTAGGACTTGCATATTTGCACGCTAAGAACACTGTTCACAGGTGAGTTTTACTTCGGAAACATAATCGGATTTGAACCCCTTCTTCCTTGATCAATCCATAAAAAGTTACCTCTGTTTTCATTTCTCTTCCTTCACACTTTACATCACTATTTTCTTTTTATGTTTAGTTCTCTCTTCTTACTTTAAATTTCCCGGTTTACATTCTACTAATTTTTATTAAAGTTTTATTTTTCTACTAATGTCACCATCATCTTTCATTTTTTTAATTTCATTACTATGTTCTTATTGCTCCTAGTTTGATGGTGACTGTGTGTGTAATCTTGTGACTTATTTATATTATGATTTTCTTTTAATTTTTGAGTTTTATATGCGTAGTAGTATGCATTATTTAGTTTGCATTATAATTTTTATAAAAGCAGACATCTCGTTTCCACTTTCCTGCTATCTGAAATTGATAACTATGGTTTCAATTAGTATATGCTATTCTAATAATGATGTGATTTGTGCAACAATTTCTCTTGGTCTGATCAGAGACATTAAAGGAGCAAATATATTGGTGGACCCTAGTGGGCGGATAAAATTGGCAGATTTTGGGATGGCAAAACATGTAAGAGCATTTATATGATATCGGATAATCTGGCTTAAGTTGAATATCAGCACAATGGGTTTGACATGGTGGGGGTTGGGTTACATATTTTAACCCATCGAGTGCATGACCCGCCCCACACAACCGTAGCTCGTGACCGGTTGGGTTGACCCATCAAACTATTTTCCTTTTCATTTATCAAGGTCTCCAAAAACCTCAATCCAAACTCTCGTTTTTCTTCAATCCCTGCTCCCATTCACATCCTTATGTCTCATCTCATTCACTATTTTGGGAAGATAAAAAAAACATTTTTTTTGTTATTTTTATATAATTTTTTTATTATTCATGTGGCTTGGCCCGCCAACCTTATAACCCATCATAAAATGGGATAAGTTGACTTTCCCAGCAATTCCAGAAAAAAGGGGCCAATCTATCCTGCCTCATTCTTTTGGCAGGGTGGGCCAACCTGCTTTGCCATCTCGTGCTGACTTTTTAATATTTTCTAACTGGAATAATTTGCAGATAAGCGGGCCATCTTGTCCATTTTCTTTCAAGGGAAGCCCTTACTGGATGGCACCCGAGGTCAGGATGATTTCTGCATTCATTTAACACTTTTTTGTCGCTGATGCGACGTGTGTAGTATTCTTATGTGACACTGCCTCAATTACATAGGTTATAAAAAATTCAAATGGTTGTAATCTTGCGGTTGATATATGGAGTCTGGGATGCACTGTTTTGGAGATGGCGACAACAAAACCTCCTTGGAGCCAGTATGAAGGGGTAAGTGAGTTTGTAGATAGACTGAAAGCATCTTGAATATTGTTGTGTTGTATCTACATTTGAAATCTATTTTCTTACCCAATTATATGAATCTTAGTTGGAGACTTGAAGCATGCTTGTCTAGAAACATTGATTGTTTGTTTCTGCTGTTTTACACTATATGTTTCAAGGTTGCTGCTATGTTTAAAATTGGAAACAGCAAGGAACTTCCTACAATTCCAGATCATCTATCAGAAGATGGAAAAGATTTTGTTATGCTTTGTTTGCAAAGGGATCCTGAAAATCGTCCCTCAGCTGCTCAACTTCTAGAGCATCCATTTGTTAAAAATGCAATGCTAGAAAGATCCATTTTAACTGCCCTTCCTGCAGAAGCTCCACCTGCTATAATAAATGCTGTGAAATCCCTGGTATGTCATTCATACAATCATCCTTTGCGCAGCTGCATTATTTTTCTGAGGTTGTGCATATCTATGTTGTTTGAGTTCTCGCTATTCATCGCTTTGAATTTCTTTCAGGGCATTGGACCTGCAAAACATAATTTATGCTTAGACTCAGAAGCGGCTGGGATCTATCCACTTAGAAGCTTGAGAACTGGTTTTGGATCAAGGTATCTCTCAAACTCAAATGTACAGACTTAAGCATGAGAAAGATCATAATAAAAAAAAATACAATGTTGTATTTGTGCATATGAATATCTGTGGTGCTGACATGTACATATGAATATTTAAAAGGTAGGAACCTGCATAATTTTAGCACTCATTTTATGCAAGTGGCTTTATAATTAAGCATCATTAGTTGATAAGGAAAGGTGATGCAAAAGGCACCGATGTCATCTTGGCTGTGTAGAAAAGTTGATCTAATTGTCCAATGCTATTTCTATTTTTTTATTCATCATACGCTGATATTAAAGGGAAAGTACTAACTTTTTTCGGGCCCTTTCTTTTCAGTGATGTGCATCCGTCAAGGAACATCTCTTGTCCAGTTTCTCCCACTGGGAGCCTACTTTATAAATCGTCGCATACAAGTGGATGGATGTCTCCTTCTCCAATATCTAGCCCTCATACTGTGTCTGGCTCATCTTCGCCACTAACCAGTGGTGGTGGTGCTATTCCATTTCATCAGACAAAGCAACCAATATTCTCCCATGATGTTATGGGTATGATTCAAAAGTCCCGGAATGATTTTTATTCAAACGGAAACACTGCTCATCCGGAGTATAAGCATGAGCAGTTTGGGAGGAACTTCCAAACTACACATGCTTGCCGTGATGTAGTTTCTTCTGATAATGATGCTCTTCCAAACCATTCTATGAGGTTTGTCCAGGGAGATCCAATAGAAATTCGTGATGGGAAGTCATACTTGGCTGATTGTGTATCACAACAGCTGTTGAGGGATTATGTACGGCTAAATGCATGCCTGGGTATTATGGAGGAAGCCCCAAAGCGTGATCGCTTTAATGGCTTATGATCCCGTGTCAGGGATCCGAGGGTAATACTACCTAGGCATTAAAGTTTTGAAGGTTAGCATATCCGGAAAGTGTAATTTGGTACTAATGTTAGTTTTGTTGCGTAGTCTCAGATGATGTTCTGAAACCTGCGTTTTCTTTGGAGACGCAACATTTAGTCTCAGCCTTGCGTAAAACTTTTTTTTAGCACTGCAAGGAAATGTGCATTACAAACCCTTTTTATCATCATCCTAACTGAATGGTGCTGGTGCCATAGCGTATAGAAAGTTAGAAACAAATGTCTATTGTAAATATAGGAGAAACTCAATTATAGTTTATTTAAGCAAGAGTTTCCTCCTATAACTGTCGCCTTTTTGGGGGGGTTGTTCAGCTTAATTGGTGTTATCTATTCCGTCTGATATTCGTGTTATCTATACTGTTTGAATATATATCGGAATCTGCAGGCTTAACTACCTAAAATGTTGCAGCAACTTCACTTTCAATAAGCAGCATAATTTTGGATCAATTAATTTTTTAAAGTTAGATTCACCCCAACCTTTTGTTTCCAAAACAATTCAATTCGGTAAACAAAAATTAATATGGCTACTTATTTAAATCTTGTGAACTTAACTAGTTTTTTAATCGAAGTGAATTTGTTTCAAAAAATTTTGGAGTGGGAAAATGAGAAGGCTTAAGTTTATTCCCTTTGCTCAGCTCAGTATAGGAGGAATTGGAAATGAAAACAAGTAGGTTATAATTTCTAATCATACGGATTTAATTGTCCTAGGATTTTATTCTCTCATTTCTTTTATTACTTTATACTCTCTTGTAGCCAAACAAGGTGACATTTTTTCCTTTTAATCCAACACTTAAGAGTTGCCGAGTCCATAGAATTCACACCTAAAAAGGCATGGTGACATCGCATCTAGTAATAATACTATATACAATGCAGCGATAACATAAAAACAATTTCCGAAATCCCAACTTCCCAAGTGCATATACTTCCAAGTAATGATTTCTTCAAAAAGGAAAAAAAAAATCATGAATTGGATATGAATGCAAGGGAGTACTGCGAAGTGTCAAGTTCGAAATTAATTATATACTGCTTGATTTTCAACAGCCATGGTAGTCTGAGCTATAATTACTAAAAACCTTCAAGATGAAAGTTTACACCACTAAATTTCTAATTCTCTGAAACTTCTTTTTCAATGCAATAATGTTGCCATGTATGAAGCTTGCTCTAATTTAGTCCAGTCAAACAAACCTCTCTAAGCTACTTTGGATTAGTCAGGCTTAAGCTGAACTCCCATAGTTTTTTTGCCAGCTCTGAATCTTTAGCCAGAGAGGTTGGGTCTGCCTTATTGCTATCCATAAAGTATTCACCAGATATTCCCTTGACTTGTGGATGCAATGCTACGTAACATTGAGTTGCAGCTCCCTATAAACATGCCCCAACAATTAAAAATCTGGTGTAACATTTAGATTATTAACAACATAGCAGCAGCAAAAGGCATGCATGCCATGCAACCCCCCACACACTGCTGTAGAATGTAGATATATTTTGTATGTAACTAAATACCTGTTGCACATTTTTAAGGAAGTACTTGCCCACCATATTAGCAACGGCTGCATAAGCCAAGAAGCAGATACATGAACGTAAACTCAAAAGATTATGCAAGGAATTTTGTATAAGATTAAGAATCTCCAGCTAGTGCATCTGTTTTGTTTCTATGTATGTCCTTTTTTTACAAGATATACATAGAAGAGTAAGCACATTCATATGGATTATGTAAATCAGTCAATGTTAACCCTACTGAACCAGCCATTAGAACTATTTCCAACGGCAATGACACTTCAATAAACACACTTGCACACTAATTGAATGGTATAGATACTAACCATTGACATAACCATGGTGTCGCAGAATATTTGTAATAATTGATCCAGGATGAAGGGAGTTGACAGTTATTTCCACTCCTTCTTCCTGTCAAACAAAGTAATATGCAAGAGTTCTACATCAAACTCGACTAATAAGTTCACCAATTAGTCAAAAGATCAAAAGGATGGAAAAAAAACCATTACTGAAGCAGACTATTTACAGACAGGGTAATCTAAATATTGCAGTAAATGAAGTGGAATAAATTAAATTCCATAAATTAGAGATAACTTTTCATGAATATAATACCTTCAAGCGCCTTGCAAGCTCATTTGCATGCAAGATATTTGCAAGCTTTGATTGTCCATAAGCAAAATAACTGCTGTACCTGAAAAAAATCAGATAGAGGAGGAAATTATGCAATTTTGGGAACTCAAAACATTGGACACGTGAATAGTATAAATTTGTCAAGAGTTTTTAAAGCATAAGCTTTGTGGCAAATAGGGAAAAGGATCATTGATTAATCATTCCAACCAGACCATTACCCTGATTCATCATTGATCATATCAAATCGAATCCCTTCACGATATGCAAATCTGTGTGCCTCTGATGATAGAATAACTATCCTTCCTTCATGGTTGCATTCTCGAACTGTTTTTTTCATAGTTTCTAATAAAAGGTTTGTCAAGAGAAAGTGTCCTACAAAAAATAGTATTAAATATTAATATTCAAAATATTTTTGTATACTATTAGAGAATAACAATTTTCAGTTATATACCATTTAGAAAGACATGTTGAAGAAATGGGGTTAGCGAAATCTCAAATATTATGAGGTAAACATGTAATATAATACCTAAATGATTGGTCGCGAACTGCAATTCAATATTGTCTTGGGAAAGCATGAATGGAGTTGCCATCACCCCTGCATTGTTACTTCAAAGGAAGGAAAAAATATAATTTCTTTGAACATTCAAATAAGAAAAACAATATTATTTGTTTCAACTTTAAAATTTGCAATCAACACATAAAAACAAATAGGAGTTTCTTTCCATGCAATATGCCAACTAAAGTACAGAGGGTAAAAGGGAATAATTTTACAGGCATAAAACATCAAGCACTACGTCAAACAAGAAAGTAGTATAAGTTGGCAACTTGGCAACAACCATCTTTCCAGAAAGATAAGAATTAAGAGTTAATCAGAAGACATCAATAAGTCACATTTAACCACTTGGAGACACAGCCAAAAACATTACTCATGTTATCTTACACGGCTAGGGTTAAGAGTTCTTACATTAGGATGTTGAGTGGAAGACCAGATGAATTAAAATCTGCTGCAAATTTCCTTACGGATGCCATAGAGCTCAGATCTAACTCCATAACATCAATTTTAGCTGAGGGAGTTTCCTTAAGTATTGTTTCTTTGACATTCTTACCACTGTCCACATTCCTTACAGCCATAACAACATGGACACCACGCAAAGCAAGAACCCGGGTGGTCTCCAGACCAAGACCACTTGATGCTCCTAAAAATGGACTAAATAAGTGTACTCAATCATGATAGTTGAAACTAGAGCAAGATTTAAGACTCTCATCTAAATTGAACAACAGCTTACATGGATCTCATCAGTTCAATAATTCAACAAAACTAGTAAGCATCAAAACCAAAGGAAGAAAAACAATCTGTGTGGTGTGTATCTTTATTTTTTTTTACAATGATTACAACAACGTTCAAATCTAAGACCTTGTCTATGTTACCTCTACCTTGACCACTAAGTCAATCCTAGTAGTTTCAAGTTGTGTAGTGTATGGTACACCATATTATGATGTTACATAGCATTTTCACTAGAGATTATAAGTGTTATGTCTTCTATGAGGGTATTCTCATAGAAGGAACCACTGAATTAGCCATATGCGATGATCTTGGATCATTAAATAAACTATAAAACAACATAAAGAAAATAACTTTGTTAAGCTTTCATTTCATCCCACAAAGGTGTTCCAAGTAGAGACATACATACACCCCAATTTTCTCAGCACCCAAAATCACATGATAGAATAAAATTACAAAAAAAAAAAGGAAAATAAAACGCATAGAAAGGTAAGAAAAACCTGTGACGATGGCGGTGAGAACGGTTCCATCGATCCCTTGAGTGACTTGTTCGGCTGTAGAAGAGGCTGAGAACCCTGATGCCCCTTTCCACCCAATAAACCACATGTTTACTTCTCAACACCAAACAAATCACTGCACAAATGAGTTTGAGTTTAACTTCAAAGACTATTTTTAAGTTGTAGAAAGTTATAATAACATCGAAATAATTTTTATTAAGTATTTTTTTTTATTTTTTTTATTTATATTATTTAATAATTTTATATTAAATGTGAATTTTGTAAATTTAATTATTAGATTGAAAGTTCATATTTCTTAAATCATATATACAAAAAATTATGATTATCTAAATTTTTTTAAATACTCTAGAATTATAAATATTACTTTTAATTTCTATTTTACATGTGATTATTTTAAAAAAAAAATTATTTATTGAAAAATTAAATAATTATATTAAGTATTATTTACATTAACGATATTATATTATTATTTGTCATTTTAAAAAATTTGTATAAATTTTTAAAATATCTATTATTTGTATATCTTAAAATAATCATAAAAACAAAAAATAATGACTTTATTATTTAAAAAAAATAAAAAAATAATAATAATATTATAAGAATAAAAAATTAAATTTATTATTTTCACAAGAATTAAAAATAATATTTATAAATTTTAGAAAATGAAAAACAAAGAAATCTTTTTATAATAGAACTCATCATGTTCTTATTTTTAAAATTTCAAGATGGAAAAAAATTATTAATTAATATTGTTTAATACATGTACATGTATAATTAATTATGTGATTATTTAGATGTTAATCTTTTGTTTTTAATTAATAATTATAATTCATTTTGTTGACCTATTTTCACTTTTCAATATGTATGTGTCTATATCAAATCAATTTTTATATATTATAGATGAATGTACAAAAGTATTTTTAGAGAAAAAATTTGATAAAATAGTTTTTTCAAGACTTTTTTAATTTTTTATTTAATTTAATTTTTATTTATTATAATTATTTATGAATTAAATTTAATATTTTTAAAATAAATTTTTAATTAATAAAATGATTTTATGTCACGATATAAATTATTTTTATCATAAATTTAAAATATAATTTATATATTTAAAAAATCTATTTTACAAATTTTAATTATAATTTATGTAAAAATAATTATATCTATATTTATTATAAAGAGAATATATTTTGATGACTATTTTTTTTTGTCTTTACTTTTTAGTGAAATACTATATCTCTTTGATGTAAAAAAAATAATTATATTCTATTTGAATAAAATGATTTTATGTCACGATATAAAAGTACTACATATAAAGTTACCGGTCACGATATAAATGAATTTATATACTAATAAATGTAAACTATACATCTTAAGTTATCGGTCAAGCATCTACTACTACATATACAATTTATCCTTTATCAAGTAGTCAACAAAACATCCTCTAGCTCTTATACCATTAAATGGCTTTTACAATTTCTAATATTTGTTTATATATAATTATTAAAAGTACTAAATCTGTCAACCCTTTCATCATATATAATAAACATTTAACATATACACAAATTATTATATATGTATATAAAAATGGTGTACTAGGAAAAAAACATAGTTTAATGATTGGAAAATTGTCCTTTGTTAGGTTGTGGATTAAGGTTGTAATTTTTATTCAGAGTAAAACTCATTTAATGTCTGATTTGGTTTCTGAGTGCTGCAATATTATAGTTTCTGAAAGAAAATATACGTGAATAAGTGAATAACTATAGTCTATTTAATCAATATTATGAGTTTATTTTCAAAAACACGGTCGCTTATTTCTATTAATCATTTTATTTTAAAAAAATACATATTTTTTAAATGATATTTTCCGAACATTTAATTCATCATAAAAATTCAAGATCAGGAATTTTAATGATCATTAAATTTAATCATGCATTAGTAATGTGTTTGGAAACACTTTATAGCCAATAAATTACTGATGATCATTTAAGATTTGTAGGTACAAATCAAGAAATGCAATGGAACTTTTCCATCTTAATAAAACTACATAGGTAATTTGTGTTGCATGAATTATTTTGATGTTCTTTTAGCATTCTTCTAGCGATGTAACTAAGATCAAAATGAAATTTAAATAAAAAAAGAAAAGAAAGCAACAAATGGATCTCGAGATGGATGATTGGATGTCAGTATCGGGTTTCTAACGTGCATTTGTTATTTATGTTTTCATTATAATCTATTCAAAAGAATATGAAAAATGTAACAACCTTCCTTGGTTTCTACATTGTATGACACAATGACTAATAATAAAAAACATATAACTTAAAATCATAGATTTATAGATACGAGAATCATGTACTATACTGGATGCATGTAAAGATGATCAATTAAATAAATATGTGCAATATAAATATAGTAATTTAATAAATGTAAATTATACATCTTAAGTTACCGGTCAAGCATCTACTACTACATATACACATTTATCCCTTATCAGGTAGTCAACAAAACATCTTCCAGCTCTTATACCATTGAATGGCCTTTACAATAACATTCCGACCCTATCCCTACCTTGCTCTCATACCACGTATAGTTATCACAATCTAAACCACATGGAAACACGCAAAAGTAAGCTTGAGTAAAAAGAAACCACATATATACAACACAGGAACATCACATCATTATATCATCTTCAACAACACAACAACATGGCAATTATATGCATCACAATCATAAGTGGCGTCGGACATTAGTTACTGAAGAAACATGTGTTGATATATTGATGAATTGTTGAAAATGAGATCAATAGAAGTATATGTTGCATTCTTTAAAGTTGTTAAGTGTTGTTATTCTATATATGATGATGTTCTGAGATGAATGATGATTGAGAAGATTATTATAAGTTAAGATGTGCATGTTGAGTTGTAGAGTTGGATGTTGGTTATGTAGCTGTGTTGAACATGAAAGAAATTGTTGTGTTGTTTGAGATGATGAATGTTGAGAATGCTTTGGACATTTAGGCATGATATTGTTGAGTTGTGACAATCAATCTAAGTCTAGAGGAAAAGTTTTAAAAATCCTTAGTAGTAAGACTTAAACACACATATATAAAACAATTACAATATATAAGTCAAGTCAATATATATTAATTAGAAGTGACCAATCGTGTAAAATATAAAATTAGAATCTTAATTCCTAACTAAATATTAGAAAAACGTGATATTTAAAAAATAATCTCATAACAAACTTAGTTACACTAATTAATCTCATAGCATATTTATATCCAATTAACCTATCGTGTCATATTCAATGTAACCTTAAACAAAACTCAATACGAATTTTATGGCGATATGACATTTGGCTTCCGATTTCACGGTGTAAATTAGGTACATCAACTTTTTTTCACACTAAATATGTAAGCATTATGCAGATGCCGTGAATTTTCAAACATAAATTGTGGGTGTTTAAGACTTTATTAAGCTAAATCTAAATTGATAAAATTATGTCGAATGAGAGTTGTTTATAATAAAATATTATTTTAATTTATCACATGTAATTTTAAGTTGTTTAAAATTATAGAGTTGTTTATAATCAAAATTTTATTGCAAGTTTGTTTAATATATATATAAGATAAAATATGAAATATTAATAAATAAATAATATTTATGAATCAAATAATATTCTGATAAAAAGTTGCATTAAAGTTAAAATTAGTGAATTACATAAAGTTGTGATGGTAAATAAAAAATAAAGTGAGAGTTTTTTATTTCAAGGGAGTGGAGAAGCTCTAAGTTAGATTCTTTTACCTACTTTCCTTGTTCGGCGGGTTGCAGGTAAAAGCTGTTTCTCTTTTGGCAGTTAAAGGATGCATCGATGCACTGTTCAGCAGAAAGAGCCTATAAGAAAAAAATACTTTATAAATTTAATTTGTACTAAAAAAAATACTTTCGAAACAATTTACTCTTTTTTTTTTCTATTTTATTTCTTTGAACTTAGATAGATTGCGCAATTTCAGGCCTTTGAGATTACAAATTTCACACGGCTTTTAAATTATAATCGTGCGCGTTTGCAAACAATCGAAACATGAAATACATAATTTTCTTTCTAGTGGAAGCAGCATAAAAGAAAAAAGGTAATCCATTCAGTGTGACGAATACAATGGGAGGAAGTAATCATGTCATAATTTACATCCATACAATGGATTAACACAAAAAGATTCACATGAATTTCCAAATGAAGACTCCAGATACACAACAATAATGATGATACAAGCACATAAAACAAAAAAACAAGAGCCCTAAGCCCTAAGCCCTTGTCTTGAAAGGAATTGCTCGGATGATTATCTGGTGATACACAGCAGCAAGTGCAGCTCCAATGAAAGGTCCAACCCAGAAAATCCACTGCAAAACCACAAAAATCATAAATTCCATTATTTTTTAAGCCACATTTAAGTCTCAAGTCAAACAAATAAATAAATAAATAATATATAAGTGGATACTATAAGATTTTTGAATTAATATCAAACCCACATACATTCTAAGAAGAACAGAAATATAACAAAAATTTAAACAAAGTAAAAATAGAAAAATACCTGATCATCCCATGCATGGTCCCTGTTGTAGATGATGGCAGCTCCAAGACTCCTAGCTGGGTTAATACCAGTTCCTGTGATGGGAATGGTAGCCAAGTGGACCAAGAACACAGCAAATCCAATGGGAAGTGGAGCCAAAATCTACAATTATTATCATACCATAAATTAACCACATCATTAATTGCAAAATTGTAACATACCCATTTATTTATAAGCCAAAATGGAAAGAATAAAATACATACAGGAACATGAGAGTCCCTAGCATTTCTCTTGGCATCAGTGGCAGAGAAAACGGTGTAGACAAGAATAAAAGTGCCTACAATCTCAGCTCCAAGGCCATCACCCTTGGTATATCCAGAAGCCACAAAGTTTGCTCCACCTTTGAACATCTCATACCTACCATTGCCCTCAAACCCCTTCACCACACCAGCCCCACAAATGGCTCCAAGGCACTGCATGACAATGTAGAACAGTGCCCTAGTCAGGGACAGCTTCCTTGCCAAAAACAGACCAAAGGTCACAGCTGGGTTGATGTGTCCCCCTG